GATAATTGTAATTATAATTTATATTTTGAATTAAATTAATTTGATATATAATAATTTTTTGTTAGATAAAAGTATATTTATAAATATTTTCAGAATAAAGAGTAGAAGGGTAAAACTAAAAACTAATTTATTTTCAAACGTCAGTTCTATATAGTTATCAAACAGTTTGGTTCAATTCAATACTTAAATTTCAGTGGGTACAAACAATCCATAAATTCTGCATTCAACATTAAACTTTCATATTTCAAATTTTAATTTTCAAATTTCAACTTTAAGTTTTATCAAACAACACTATGCACTGGAAATAAAATTTTGGATTAATTGGACTAGAGGTCCCTAAAGTTTTAGATTTGTCTCATTTTAGTCCCCAATGTTTCAATTGTATCATTTTGGTCCATGAAATATTGAATATGTTTTTTATAATCCTTCAAGCAGACAGTATCCACATTGCTAATAATTTTTTATCATAAACTTGTCGTATAATACTTAAATATGGACAAACAATAACTTGGATAGCTCTTAAACAAAATTTGTGTAGTTCTTGATAAAAAATGTGTAATATGAGTAGTTTTTGACCAAAATTTGGATACCTCATAATCAAAACTGAGTAATTTAGGTAGGAATTTAACCAAAATTTGGGTAAAAATTTAGTCAAGAGTTACCCAAATTATTTTTGTGTACATATTTAAGTATCATGTGACAAGTTTATGATAAAAAAATTGTTAGCAATGTGAACATTGTTTTCTTGAGAGATCATATAGAAACATATTTAATACTTCAGATATCAAAATAATGTAATTGAAATATTGGGGACTAAAATAAGATAAATTTTATACTTTATGGACCTCCGGTGCAATTAACCCTAAAATTTTAATATGATATTAGCTATGATCCTTGTCATAAAAGTACATTTACCTTTTTTAAATCAAATGGGTCAGTTCAACAATCCTAACCAATTTATCCCAACTTTTGCAACCCATTGGAATTACTACACCCGGAAACATTCAAGTTGAACCACATGGTCCTGTCTGTGATAGATTTTTCTGTGCATACAGTAAATCATACATTTTCTCTAAATATCTCTTCATTTTTAGATTCGTTTAAATTGAATATAGATTATTCATCAAATGTTGGTGTAAAATGATTCGGGTTACTGAATTGACCCGTCTAATAAGATTTGATAAAAGTTAAATATGGTTTTAAACAATTGAATATACTTTCTTTAAATAATAAGTATCATAATTAATATCACATTAAATTTTTCTTTCTAGTGCATTGGTAGTTTTTTGCATTTAATTTTGGTCTTCTTCGAATAACAGACGTTAGATTATAATCTAATGACTCACATAAAAAATACTTAACAAAGATTATTGCGCATAGCTTTCATGAGTGCACTACTCAAACAAAAATACTTCTTATCTGTCTTCACGGGAAAAAAAAGATCAATATTTTGACTAATTTTACTATTTAATCATTTAATGTGAACCGTTGATTAACGGCTCCCACTAGGTGCCATTGATCATCCAATTAATGTAATTGTGTCATATCACTTGACATAGAATAATGGATTTGATTACGGTGCCCACAAAAAAAAAGAGGTTGACATCATACCTTCAAAATTTATTATCTTAAAAAGGTATTTTTATAATTTTTGTAAGTTATTTTACAACTAAAAACTTTATTATTGTTGTGGATAATTTTCAAATTTTTTGAATTTTTTACCATTATTATGAGTATTTTTTCCACTTTTTTCATACAAAAGAAAAATACCATTAGTGGGTATTTTAACATAGAGTGGGGCTATTCCCACTCTATAAATCTCCATTCTCACCCTCATTTAATTTTTCATTATCAAATTACTAAATCTACTTCTTCTATACCCACATCATTAGTAATTAAGTTCACTACATGCTACATATACCAATTTTAATAAATAAACCCACTTTCTATTTTATCATAATAAGAATTTCATTCTCTATCTCATCTCATGCACTTACAAAAACACTTTTTCAATTTGAATTTTTTCAGTGAGATACATGTTAATATTACTTCTCAATTTAATTTAATATTTGATATATGAATTTTCATTTTTTTGGTATCTTTTGATATCTCTGTTAAGTTTAATATATATATGCTTTTGGATTAGTTGTTATTTTTTATCTTGTTAAGGTTTTGCATCTACACTTCTTATTTTTTTCTTGTTCAATTTATGTTTGTGCTTGATGTTTATTTTTTTTTTTTCATATTTGATTTTGCGTCTTATAGTTTTATTTGTTCCTTTAATCTTTGCTTAGTTTTTTTCCCCTTCTTGTTTTTTTTTGCTTTTTTCTTTCTATTTTTTCCTTGTTTCGTTTTTGGTTGTTTTTTTCTTTTTTAGTTTTGCTTAGTTCTTTTTTTTATTATTTCATAAATATATTTATACATTCAAACTAATTATCTTCTTTCATTATTTTTTTCTTACAATGACTTCTTTCATTAAAAAGGTATACATAGAATGAGTAAACTTAACTATTAATAGGGTGTATGTAGTATGAGGTGGACTTAGTTACTAATGTGATAAGTATAAAAGAGGTGTGTTTAGTAATTTGATAATAAGAAATTAAATAGAGTGAGAATAGAGATTTTTGAAGTGGAAATAACCTATCATTTATCATATTTATGAGTATTTTTACTACATTTGTGGTTATTTTTAGGGTTAATTACAAAATGCCCCTTTGAACTTTGAGTCTTATTTCAATCAGATCCATCTGGTTTAAAATTGAACAATTTACCCCCTTCAAGTTCCAAAATTAACTAATTGACTGATTAATTAGACAAAAATTTTAAAATTACTGTTGTACCCTCAGCCTTTATTCATCTCCATTTTCTTTCATTTTTCTTTACCCAATTGAGCCAAAATCTCCAATGCCACCAGCTACAAACCACCATAACCATGACCTAGCCAACAACCTCAACCACCACAGCCACCACCAAACCATCATAGCCACCACTCAATCACTCAAGTACAAACCACCGTATCCATCACCCAACCAACCAGCCAACAACCACCGCAACCATCCACTCAACCACAAAAACACTATAGTCACCACTCAACCACCCAGCGACCCAAACACAAACCATCGTAGCCACCACTCAACCACCTAGCCACAAACCACTGGATCCATAGTGAAGAGGGAGGGGTTTCAGTGGAGTTGGGTTTTCAATTTTTGTGGAGTCTGACTAAAGAGTTGAGTTGTAGGAAAGGTGGGGGCGGGTTTTAATTTCAGCGGGGGGGGGGGAGGGGATCTGGGTTTTGATTCAGTGGATGAGGAGGGATTAGGGAGTTGAGGGAAAGGTAGGGTGGGGTGGGGTGGGTGGTGGGTTTCGGTTTCAATTGAGGGGGAGGGATTTGGGTTTCGGTTCAATGGAGGGAGAGGGATTAGGGAGTTGTGGGAAAGGAGGGGGTGAGTTTCAATTGCAATGGAAGGAGGGGGAGGGATTTGGGTTTTTCAAGTGAATTGGGTTTTCAACAGACTTGGATTTTTTCTTTTGATTTTGAATTTTACACAAAGACAAGGGTAATTGTGGGTTTTTGATTAATTTAAATCATTTTTAAAAGAGATCAACAAACAGTAGGAGTTAATTAAAAATTATTCAAACATTAAGGGGGCAAATTGTTCAATTTTAAACCAAAAGGATCTGATTAAAATAATACTCAAAGTTCAAGGGGGTATTTTGTAATTAATCCTTATTTTTATTACTATTGTGATAATTATTTTTACTATTTTTTTTTATATCATAATAGTGATAAAAGTATCAATAAATATGATAAATAGAGGTATAATAACCAAAAAAAAAACAAATTTGGTATCGTAGTCAAATTCTAGAATAATTGGTAAAAATTGCTGGTTAAGAGAGTGTTGGTGATTGAATTCCATTCATGTGACTTATGAATTCTAAATTCTCTCCGACTCTCTTCAATCTAATTATCCGACAAGTATTGTTGAAGAATCCACTCAAATATGATGGATTCTGCCTAAATTACTGATAAAAGATTGTAATAAAAGATATTAAAAAATAATCAGAATTGTGAAATTCCATAACCCTCATCATTTTTTTGACCCACCATCAAGAAGTCTGAAAGCATTTAACTAACTACAGTAATGTCATTGAGATATACAAAATTAGTATAATTTGTTGACATAATAGTGTGACAGTAATATGATTTAATAATAGTGTTATAATTGTAATTTTTAGACTTTTTTCATTAAAATTCTATCACTTAATACATCAGCAAGTCAGCAAAAAATAATATTATTTGAAGAATCTATAGAAAAATCAATGGTTTGAGATTATCAAGTTTAATTTTTAAGTTCATGTAGAATTGCTCTTTAAAAATTATTATTTAGACTTAATTTAGGAATCTAATCTGAAAATCTAATTTAATATAAGGAATTTGATTGGTTTTGTTTTTTATGTAATATTGAACTCACAATTAATTCAAATATTTATATTGAAGTCATATTATTAAATCCAAGATCCCTAGCATTGCTCCTCACTAGGATTACTCACCTAACAAAGAAAAGAAAAATGAAAAGAGTCTCAAACCACTCTTTTCGTGAACATTCCAGAATTACAGGGTTCTTTAATCCCCACATCTATCAGCTGCCTCTCTAGAAACTCGTAGATCTCTCTCTCTCTCTCTCTCTCTCTCTCTCTCTCACACACACACACACACCAACAGGCTACAACACCAGAACCATCCGGAAAACACCATCTCTCTTTGCACTCTCCCCTATATAACCCCCCCCCCCCCCCCCCCCCATTCCTCAACAGAGAAAAGCAGTGCACAAACAACCTCACAACCTTTGTACACAAACACAACCATTCATCAACAACATCTCTTCATACCACCTCTCCCAACAACTTCCATTAAACCTTCCTTCCCATTCATCTTCACCAAAAAGAAAAGTTCATCACATAGAATGGGTAAAGCAAGATTCACCATGCTCTTCCTTGCAATGGCAATAGCTGCAGCTCTTATACCCCTCCAAACCACTGCACTGACACCATACACACGAAGCCTCTGGGACATGATCCTCCCACCCGATGACCCATTTCGAATCCTCGAACAAAACCCATTAACGAGCTCAAAAGACATGGAACCCCTGGCCCTCACCCGAGCAGATTGGAAAGAAACACCAACATCACATATAATATCACTGGACGTTCCGGGGATGAAGAAAGAAGATTTGAAGATCGAGGTTGATGAGAACAGGGAGTTGAGGGTGAGTGGAGAGAGAAAGGGGGAGGAGGAGGTCGAGGGTGAGAAGTGGCACAGGGTTGAGAGAACTGTTGGGAGGTTTTGGAGGCAATTCAGGTTGCCTAGGAATGCAGATTTGGAGAATATGAAGGCTCATTTTGAGAATGGTGTGCTGAGGATTACTGTGCCCAAGTTAGCTGAGGAGAAGAAGAAGACAACTAAGGTGATTAGCATTGCTGATGAAGGGAATGGTGGCGAGGATATCAAGGCTACAAAGGCTGAGCTGTAGAAGAAACAGTGTGTGTGCTTTGATGCTGCAAATTATAGCAATGTGATGTGGGTTTGTGTTAATGAGTATATTACTATGTGGTGTATCGAGTTGGTGGTGGAGTTGTTCGTAATTTCTTTTCTTTAAGAAAATTAAAAAAATTAACTTTTTTGACACCTGTGAAAGCATAATAAATTCTTTACAGAATTGTTAAGTTCAGCATTGGTCATTACAGGTTTCAATGATAAAAGGAGTAAATTTGTTAGATTTGGATTGATATGGGTTTGATAGAGAGCATAACAATTAAGTTACATATGATATGTTCATATATATATATATATATATATATATATATATATACGAATATAATTACGTTTGATTCTAAATGAGTTAAATATTCGTTGAAGAAATCTTAACCCTCTATTTGGTTGAAGGGAACATAGGGAGAATGAAAGTGGGAGGAAAAAAAAAAATTTTATTGTTTGGAATGGAGGAAAAATGGAAGGGAATAAAACATGAAAGGAAAATGCTTTTCCTTGAGCTCACCAAATATTTTCCTTCAAAAAATGGGTGGAAAATGGAGGGAATATGGGTTTTTTTGTGAATTGACTATTTTATCCACCACTCTCTTTAATTATATAATTTTTAATATTTACCACATAAAATAATTAGAACTTAACTTATTAAGTTTGTATTTGTATATGTAATGGAAGATTTAATAATTAAATGTACATAATGAAAAAAATGCATATAATTTCTAGTTAGGTACAACTTAAATAATTAAATGAAGAATTTCTTTATAAGTAAATTTTATTTTTGATTTTATTTTAATATATGATATAATAGAACATGAATTTTGATTGTAAGATTCGAAATATTTAATATTTTATTTTTAATTGAAATATTTTTGGTCTAAATATAATATTTTAAACTTAAAAATAGTCTAAATATTATATACTTATAAACTTTAGGAGGTTTAAATATTATATACTTATAAAAAAAATTATGCATTTTTGGTTTATTTTCTTTAATCTTATTCATGTAATTAGAAGTGAGGGTACAATGGTAAATTTGATATATATATTTTTCATTTCCATCTAATTTTTCATCCAATACTAAACAAAGGAAAATGCATAACTTCAATTTTTCATCCATCATACCAAACATAACGAAGGAAAATATATTTCTTCTAACTTTACATCCTTCTAATTTTTCATCATTTCTATCAAACGGATCATAATACAACACCATTTAGATGAGAACAACTTGCCTCTTAGATAGATTTTCAACTTTGGTTTTGGCAATCCCTCGGCTATCAAGGGTTTAATATGAGAAATAGTTGGAAAAAAATATTGACATTATTTATTGATTTTATTTATTATAATTATTGAATAAGTGGAGGGTAGTGCTGAAATTTACAATTAAATCAATGATAATAATGTTGATAGTTAGTAAATAATTTTAATATTTTTTGTTCAAATAACATTACTTATTTAATATTTTTTTTAAAGCTTTGGTGTAGATTCTTAACTATCTTCATCCTAGGATCCCATTAACAGTTTTATGAATACATTATTTTTTGAGTAATGTTATTAATTTTAATTTATTATAATTATTAAATTAGATGTGAGTCTCATCAACTAAGAAAAAATTCGAACAAGACTTGGGCAGAGCTCCACAGTAAAATACGTAGTTGAGAACTTAGATGGTTAAGAGATTTAAATCCTTTCTTTTATATATATATATATATATATATATTTATTTATATTTATTTATTTATTTATTTATTTATTTATTTATTTTAGTTTCAATCACCTATAGTAAATGATAGGATTCATGAATAAAATCGAATGATATCAAAATTTCTCCATTTTCAATGATGGAACCTCTTGTTCGAAAAGAAATAATATGATGGAACCTCCAAGTAGATTTGGACCATTTGATGATGCAAGGGTAAACGAAGAAAATTATATTTTAACCAATGTGCTTATTTATAATAGAATAATAAGTAATAGATTTTTTTCTTTTAATTGACATGCATGACATTTACCTAGATGAATGATTGAAAATTATGAGATAAAATTATTTCAGTATTATATCTCGATCAATATTTGTAATTAATTTTGAATTAAATATCTCACAACCATTAATTAAAAAAATAATAAAGTAATGTACACGTGATGCATTTTTATTGTCAGCATATATACTAGTGATCAATCTTCTGTTACACTCAAACTGTTTTAAAACATTTGTAAATTTCAATCCATAATTACGAGGAGGAGAAATGTCACTTGAAAGCATGTTTGTTTCAAAGATTTAGTAGGATGGGAGCGGAGTATCCGACCCAACTCATTCCAATTCCATAGGGTTAGTAGGCATAATTCAGTGTCTTTTTCATCTTATGTCGTGTTTGGTTGCTTTTTGGTAATATATATGACTTCCACAAAAAAATAATGATTCCATTCGATTTTAATTTGTTAAATGATTTTTATATGGTGTGCTACACAATTGAGTAGAGGTGTGCCATATAGAAGTTTGGGGGTCATTGAAAGATCCCGTCGGAACTTTTAGGCTCCTAGGGTTTGAACGACATGGAATTAAGGACAATAGACAGAAATTTATAGTAGTTCAAAAGTTCAACTAGTTCATTTTAATTGAGTCTCTTGCTCCCGTGGGAGGTTTCAATTAATCAAAAGAGAATATTACACAGGGTATTTGCACAAATAATTGCTTGAGTTTTATTGTGAGCGATTTGTCCCTAATTTATAGCCTTCAGATGTCTTACATGATTACCTTGTGTGATCCTCGCCACTTTCTTGTAATTGATGCTCTTTTTTGGGTAATCAACATGGATAGTGCTAAGGTATTTGCAATTCTTTTGCCAAAATATTAGGTCGTAGCGAGTTACGCGCATCATTCACCAAAATATTGGGTCGTTGTGAGTTACACGCGTCTTTCTGGAAAGTACCTGATGTGGCTGTCATTACTCTCGCAAGGTCTTGTTGTTGAAGATCTTCGACCTACGCATTCCTTGCTGCTTATTATGAGCTGCGTGGTCTGAACTAGATGACTTGAGTTGGGTGACCCGAGCTCAACCTTAGCCAATTTACTGGAATCATCAAATTTAAATGCTCTTTCTAATGGTTTAGATTAGGCACTGAAAAGGGTAATCCCACGATTTACTTTTCTTTTTTTGCATCACAATAAAAATAAAGATTCTGTTTGGTGTCAATTAATTTTTCTCAATTGGAAAAATTACCAATAAGGATTACTTTTTTCCATAAATATCGATTAAGTCCTATCATTTTTATTTTATATCAATGAAGTCCTATTTTTGATATTTTATTTCAATTAAGTGTTAAATTCTATTATATTTCAATTTTATTCTTAACCTTTAGTTACCAAAACTCTTTTATTTTGTTGCATTTTTGGAAACAATTAAGAGAACAAAAATTCATTACTTACTATTAGGAATCATATAAATATTGCGGAAGTGTAAGATCAAAGATATACCTTGTTCACTTTAATGCTAAAAACCGTTTGAGGATGTTTAACGTACTTTAGAATCTGAAAATCGTATTTTCTTCGATTTTTCGAGCAGTATGATGTTGTTACACAAAAGGAATCAACACCAAATTTTTACAGTACAAGAGCCATACATGACAAATTGAATCTTACGACACCATATGTCATAGTTAGGAGATTGAGCAACAAAAACTTGACTAATAACTAAACAGTCAATGCAAGAGACAAAACTAGAGAGTACCTCCTTCGTTTAAGTGCATTCGCGAACAAAATGACCCTTCTTGTTGTAGTTATAGCAAATCATGTTGCTCTTCTTACCAGCTCTTTTACCCTGTTTGTGCTTGTTATAACTACAGTAACCAGCTCCAGTTTAAGCATCAAACTTATTTCCACCACGCTTGAACTTCTACCCAAAGGTCTTGCGTGAGCAAACTTTAGCCACATAAGAGTTACTCTCACATTTGGTAGCCTCCAAGCGTTCAGCTTCAAGCTCAAGGTGACACGATACATTCTCGAATATTTTCACACTCTCATTCTGCATCATATTTTGTTTCATATGCTCCCATGATGGTGGAAGGGAGCGAAGTATATCTTGAACTTGTTGTTCATTGGTCAATACATGACTAGCAACGCCTAAATCCCATATCATAGAGGTCATAACCCTCAAGTGTTATTTCATTGTATGCTCTGACTTCTTCTGATACGAGTCAAACCTCATGGTTAAACCACGAAACCTCACAAGAGAAGTAATACCAAACTTCTCTTTGAGTGTCTTCCACATGGTGCGAGTTGTGGAGTAATTCTCAAATTCAGGAATAAGGTCATTTTGCATGCTCGTTTGCATGGTATAGTGCGCAAGTCGATCCTTATTCTGTCAACACTGGTAATTCTCTTATTCTTGGTGGGTTTGAGGTCGCTCAGGCTCTAGTTGCACAAAATCAAGGGTATCCAAGTCTTGTTGCTCATACGGGACAAATTGAATCTTACGACACCATATATCATAGTTATTGCCGTTCAATTTGTTGCCCTTAGTTAATTCAACCATTATGCTTTTAGTAGTCATTACAATTTAATCTACATGCAGAGACAATGCGTATGGGATATTAGCACAACACAGTGTATAATTTTGTCGCAAAAAAACTAAATTCAAATATTAACAACTTTCACAAGTCACGAGATTGAAAGTTCACTAAGTTTTCGATCATCTCCCGCACCACAGATGATTATTAATAATACTTAATTTAATTTTGCGCAAAATTTCGGTTTCCTAATACCGAACAAAATAAAACTCCCACTAGGTGTAGTATCTCTAGGCAATACCAGTCCCAAAAAATTTCATATCATACATGTCCTCAATAAAGTAAACATGCTTTTCTAAATAACCTTGGATATGAAATTATATTTTAAGTTAACCTTGGATATGATATTATATTTTTAAGTTATGCTAGATAACGAAATAAATGTTATAAGCATATCAAATATGATAACAACAATTTATGTAGAATATCAATATATCTCGTGAAAAATCAAGTATTTATCTCAATTGTTAGAATTTTAAACAATTAAAATTCAATGTCTTAAACAATTGTAATGGTCCAAAGATATTTCAGAATAAAGCCCAATATTCTAATATTTGAAAATTTTACAGAAATAATAGCTAAGATTAATGGGAAAGGTTTAACAATCTTAAAAGTAAGTCTCCAAGACCCAATTCTTTCTA